GCCAAGGCTCTCTCTGTTTTCAGCCCAGCCTGAGCTATGTGATGAGTTTTTCAAAACAAAAAGAAGTGGCGTACTGGAGAAATGGCTCAGTGGTTAAGGACACTGACTGCTCTTCCATAGGGCCCGGGTTCAATTCCCAGCACCCACATGGCAGCTCACAACTGTGTGCAACTCTAAGATCTGACAGCTTCACACAGACATACATTCAGGCAAAGCACCAATGCACATAAAAGTAAATAAATGATAAGATAGAAAAGAACGGTGTAGGGGTCACCCTGAGCACAGGTATACCTAGGGGGCGTGGACAGGATGACGTGTGTAACTTAAGAGTAGGAGACACACATGGGAACGCTCTCTTCTCGCTGTTGCTTCGACTTGCTCTGCTTTCCTGCGGTTGGCTAGGTGCACTGTAAGTATTTCCCAAATAAATATACCCGTGCCCTATCTGCTTACGTATTGGTGAATCACCACTTATATAAACGGCTGAGTTTTCATCATCTTTTCAAGCAGTGAGTGCTTTTCCTAGTTTGACTTTGAATAAAACTGGCGATATAAAACCTTATGGTAAGTCACAGTTGGGAAGGGTTTGTTTCCCTTGGAAAATGAGAGTGAATGGATGCAGTCGGGGAAGCCCAAGCCCTGCTCTGGGCCGGCTGTTCTCAGTGGAGTGATTTCATGCCCGCTTAGGTGCTGTGGATTTGTCCGTGTCTGGAGGGCTCTGCCTGTCAGTGTAGGGAGAGGAGTCTAGAACTTACAGCTCTCAGCACCCCTTGAGTACCTGGAGTCTGGGGTGCTTGCCATGGCTCTCGATACTGTCCAGAGCCTTTACCTTTACCTTGTGTCTCCAGCGGGTCATGTGATCCCTCCCGGAGCCGTGTCATCCCTCTTTCTGCCTTTTGGCCCATGTGACCAGCCCTGCGGTTTGCCATCTGCACACTTGGCCTGTGCTGGCCTTGCTCTCCTTTCCCGGCCTCCTTTATTCCCCTTTCCTGATGGCCTAGACAGCCCCTCTCCACAGCCCTCAGCCAGGCTGCTCTTGTTCTTCTCCCTGATACTTGCTGTTGACTTGACTGACTTCTCAGTTTGCTCATTCACTGTCTTCCTTTGCCTTCAGAATGCGCTTTGTTTTTACATTAAGTCCATGGGCAGGACAAGACAAGCTCTTAATAAACTCGAGCCTGTGATCCTATGATTCTCACTCAGATGGGAGAGGCCTTATGCTCGTTATAAAGAGTATGGTATTTGATTAGATGCAGCCAGGGAGCACGTCGAGGCCATCTTTAAAGCCGCAATTCCCGCATGAAGTGGGTATCAGCAGGTACTCTGATGTCATTGTTAGTGGTTATCTTATGCAGTCTGACTCGGTGCTGTTCCACCATGTGAGATTGGACAAGGCTGCTGTGTTTAGAGCTTGCTGTTCCTTATCAGGGTGACACAGGCAGAGGTGATGGAGACCTCCCCCAGCACTGTGAAGGTAAGTTGAGCACAGTGCAGGGAGAAGTTAGAGTGTCACCAGCATGGTTATGAATATGAGCTCAGAGCTGGTTTTCTTCTCACCTCCAGCATAGGTTAGACACTAGGACAGTGGCTCTCAGCTCCCTGCTGCTGTGAGGCTTCCTTACACCACCTCACATTGTGGTGACCCCGGACTGTAATTTTGCTACTGTTATGGGGCATAGTGTAAATATCTGATATGCGACCCTGTGAAAGGCTTGCTCAACCTCCAGGTTGAGGAACACTGCACTGGAGATCTGTAGTTCCCAGTCGGCACAGAAGGCTTTTCAGGAACGCAGAGAATATGTAACATCAGGCTTATATTTTGTTTTTCAGGTTGGATTAGCTACGTGCCAGATTGCCAGAGCTCATGGCTTAAAGGTTTTGGGCACAGCTGGTTCTGAGAAAGGAAAAAAGCTTGTTCTGCAAAACGGGGCTCATGAAGTGTTTGATCACAAAGAAGCCAATTACATTGATAAAATCAAGGTAAAGTTTTTACAAAAGCCAAGCATCGCTTCTTGGAGATTTATTCGTTTCAGAAACAAGTTATTTTAATTCCTACCCTTCTAATGAATCAGTATGATTTTGCTTAATAAATAAGATTGCTTCCATTTTCATATCTATCTGAACTCTCATCCCTATGTGTGTATTAGTGGTTTAAAGGCACAGGCATCCCGTTTTCAGCCTCTGTTGTCATGTTGGTCTTGTGCATGCATGCTAAACGAGGTGGAGCTTTCCAAAGTCTGATGGCTCAAGAAGTCAAAAGATCGCGCTGTAGGTAAAGTTTGCAGCTGCAAGATGCTGTTAGGGCAGCTGACAGGTGGGAAATTCCCATTGCAGTCCAGGTTCCCAGAATTGCAAATAGATTTATCTGCCCTGAAAAGACGCTGTTTGCTAATGGGATCCTTGGGGAGGAATTGTCACTGTCCCTCCCACCATGGTGAGGAGCGCTCAGGTCATGGCATATGGCACAGTTCATTCAGGATCTTATTTGTCAGCCTGTTTTGCCTGTCAAGCGCTCTGCCGCTGACTTCTATCCCCAACCCTCACCTCAACCCTCAAGTCCCTGTGTGTGCTAATGGCTCACTTGAGTCTGACTCCCTTGCTCACCCTCAAAAGTGCTGTCTTGAGCTAGAAGAGTGAGAATTTCCTGGGCACTGAGCGCTTTATAGAGGTCATTACCCAAGGAGGAGAGTGTGTGTGTGTGTGTGTGTAGGGGGGGTATTTCCACCATACTGCCACCAGTCAAGGCTCTCCTTTGTGCCTTGTACGGGGAGCTGGCGCGCATGTGCTTCCCCTGATGCCTTTCTCAAGGGTATTTACAGAGGATACAGAAGGCTGGTTCCTAGGGGACTTGCTGCTTGTTTGTCCAGCTTCTGAGGTCTTGACTCCTTCACTTGCCTGCTGGCTCCTCAGTTCTCCTATTCTCAGACTTCTACAGCCCCCTCCTCTCCCCTCCCCTCTCCTGTTCCTTTACTGCCTAACTTCTAGAAACGTAGGGGCACTCAATGTTTCCTCCCTCCCACCCTCCCTGCCCCCAGCCCTGGGGTCACAGCTTCTTTTTTAGGGTGTTGCATCTGGAGAAACCCATGCAGTAGGCAATTCACCCAGAGCCATCTGCCCCACCCCCCAGCCCTGTCTGTTTATGTCCGATTTAAATCACCACTGCCCTGCCCTCTAAGCTGCCTACATCACTCTGCCAGTTTCGCCCCTTCGAGCATCTCTCATGTCCTTTACCTCCGATTCTGCAGCCTTAGTGAGTATTTTCAGATGAGCTTAGAGCCCCTCTGTCTTCTGCTGTTCCCAGACATATTTGTCCCTTTAAATGAATCAAGAAATAACTAGAATGGATCTCTGTTCAAAGAGGAACTTTGACTTCCCTGCCTCTTAATGAGCTTCTAGTACTTAAAACATGAGTTATTGAACACCTGAAAAATAAAACAAAAACAAAGCATCTAGTCCTTTACTTACCGGGCTGTTCAGCTGCTTCAGTCTGTAACATTAGCATTTTCCTCTCCCAAGGCCCTGGTGTATGGCTCTCCCTCACCTCCCTTTTCATCCTCCAGGTCATGTCCTCTGAGGAAATCCCTTGACCAGTGTAGGCAATTAAACTTTCACCCTTCCTTGTGTAACTCATGGCTTCGTCTGCTGACATGGTACTCCAGCCTTACCTAAAAGCCGTGCTTGTAGTGTTTTCCACCCAAAGTCTTAGTTTTAAGTGCACCATATCCATTCTTTATACTTCATCCAATGCCTGCTGGAGCGTTCACTTTTGTTACAATAAAATAAAGCAAATGTAATATACAATAACTATAAATTGCCGACTCTTCAAGAACCATTTTTAAATATGGAGACTCAATAACCTACAGTGTGTACAGAAAGAATTAGTGTAGCAAACAAGCGATAAGCCACTTTGAACAACACTGAGTATGCACACAGAGAAATGCTCATCCTACCCCCATCCTTATACATACATACATACACACACACACACACACACACACTCGGCGTCCACCCTTGACCAGCAAGAACGACGTAACACCGAGGAATCTTCTTCAACACAGTTTAATCGGGAACCTCTTTGCTTTACAGTGTAAAGAAAAGCAGCCCCGGGTAGAGGAAGACGGGGCCTGATATAGTCTACATCTACCAATCACCTAACCCTACGTGGTGCGCCAGGATTGGTTGTCTCCAAGCAGAATTAAGAGGATACATGACCTTTACCAAATTAGGAGTTGTTTACCACAGAGAGCGCTCGCCGTCGGGCTGGCGGAGGGCGGAAACCGGCGCCATCTTTTGGGCTCGGTATTCTGCAGCTCCCTACACACACACACAGATACATACTCATACACACACACACACACAGATACGCATACTCATACACACACACACACAGATACATACTCATACACACAGACACACACACA